TTACAAGACTCAAACCTTGCTAATTGTCTATGGATGAACCTTCAAATTACAATGTAAGCCAAACCTGATCCACCTCCAGGAATTTTTAGATTTCAATCCCTGTTATCTTGAGTCTATCATTGCCTCCATTTTGCGCAAATAATGTCAAAAATTAGGTTTATAATCAACTTGTTAACATCAAAGCTCTGTGTTAACAAAGATCACACTAGGTAAATTTTTTTTTTTTTTTTTTTTAATGCCTATACACAGCAGACCAGTGTATCATTGATATACATATATTTGACCCCAATTTCTACACAATTGACCTACCTGCAAACAAATTTACAGCACTGATTATGCTTAAGCATGGGTTCAAAATCAAAAATAGTTTATTCATAGAAAGATAAGATTGTATACTTGACCGTTTTCAAACTCTTTAATAACAGAAATCTCGAGCACTTGACTAGCCATTGTAATGGAAATGAATAACATGAGAAGATTTGTGTAATAATAGAAATCTCAAGCACTAGCCTTTGTAATGGGAATGATTTGTGTAATATGGGAATGATTTGTGTAATAAGAGAAATCTCGAGCACTAGCCTTTGCAATGGAGAGGGATAACATGAAAAGATTTGACAAGGAATAAGCCATAAACCCTCACATATTCAAGTCCTCATTCCTCAGATGTGATAAGATAATGGGTTGTTGCCACGTGTCAGCCCCACTGGGTTGATTAATGATAAGGCTGCTAATCCAAATTACATCACTCTGTGGACACAGAATTGCAATGCCACCCTCCCTACGATCCTGTGGCCAAAGCGAATTCAAAATTCCTAGATGAATTTGGACCAATGGATTGAAGTATACGTCAAAAAAGTGTTAAAAATCGATCAGAAATTTGTTACTATATATTTGAATGAAGCAACAGAGCCAGGTCACTTGAACACACAAAACTCCTGTGGTGTAACAAAAAAAAGAAGAGACATGGCTTCTTCCATGATCTCATCTGCTGCAGTTACATCTGTTAACAATGCCATCCTGGCTCAGGCCACCATGGTTGCACCGTTCACCGGCCTCAAGTCGATCTCTACATTCCAATTAACGCGTAAGCTTGACATTGACATTACGTCTGTAGCCAACAATGGTGGTAGAGTTCAGTATCAACATAACCTTGAAAATGAGGACCATTTTTGTATCATATGATAAAAACACAAATTAAGTTAGTAATGTCTATGGCTAAGTGCAGGTGTGGCCACCGGTGGGAAAGAAGAAGTTCGAGACTCTCTCTTACCTTTCACCTCTCTCCCCTGAATCATTGGCTAAGGAAGTTGACTATCTTCTTCGCTTGGGGTTGATTCCTTGCTTGGAATTTGAATTGGAGGTTAAATCCTAAATCTATCTAATTATGGCCTATATGTTTATTAACTTTAATACTACAAACAACAATCATATTTTGTGTCGACTCTAATTAGTACTTAAATAGTATGTCCAACAACGAACTCTTGTCAGTATTAGATAACAATAGTCTCTCTCCTTCTAAAGTGTTCCCGTCAGTTGATAACAAAAACCGAACGACAAATATATCTTTTCCATAAATTCTACTAATGCACATAAAAGTTTTTTTTTTTTTTCGAAAAACCGAAGTATCTGAGGCTTCGCCCCGACTAATCCCCGAGGACCCGTGTAAGGCGACCCTCCCACACAGACCGAGTTAAACTCGAATTATATCCGTAGTCATGGCCCCAAGGAATTGCTCGCACCTAAGGGGAATCGAACCTGATATCTGAAGCTTAATGAGCTCTAAGCCCCAAACCTTTTTCATTAGGCCAACCCCTCGGGATTACATAAAAGCTTTGTGTATACACATTTACAACATTCATTATCTGTGTCCTAATATATAGTTCTGATCAATAGAGCTTAAATTACTTGTTCAAAAACTAGAAGCTGATATAAGATGAACTAAAACTAAGAATGGCTTAGAAACTGAGCTAAGTGGTACAAATGATCATACAAAACTTTTAGTACAGAAATAATACTCTGCTCAGATGAAGAGTGAAACCCTGCCAATCCATCTATACATTGTAATATAATACACACACAGTCTACACATATAAGCTGACAATTAATTATAGGTTTTTTGGGTGTGTGTAGCATCCATTTGTGTACCGTGTGAACCACAGATCCCCTGATTACTATGACGGCCGGTACTGGACCATGTGGAAGCTACCCATGTTCGGGTGCACCGATTCACTGCAGGTATTGAAGGAGCTGGAGGAGGCCAAGAAGGAGTACCCAAATGCATTCGTTCGGATTATCGGATTCGACAACAAGCGCCAGGTGCAGTGAATCAGTTTCATTGCCTACAAGCCTCCTGGCTTCTAAATTTGATCACTAAACCATAGATCATATATGTTGGTCATCATTTCAACTTTCATTAGGTTGATTTATCTTTTGTCCCTCAATATTTTGTAGGTTTTTGGGCATCAATTTGCTACATGTTTGTTTTTTTTATTAAATGTCCAATGGAGCAAAATGTGAACTGAATGAAATAAAGATTGATGTTTTGCTGGTGATGAACATGAAAAGCAGCATCAGCTTAGTATAATCATATATATTCATGTTAAAACAAGGTTAGTACAGTGTTGTCACACTTATGCAGCCTTACCTTCTGCAGTGCATGAGTCTCCCGCCAAATCATATATTCAAATGAGACATAATATACAGACCGACTACTGAGACCTATTTGTCAAAATTGGAACCATGTCCAAGTGTTAGTTAATAGAAGAATTAATTGTTTCGAAGGTATAGCATAAATTTATACTTAAACGTTCATTTGTAAATTGTAAAATAAGATCATCCCAAAAAACATCACCATACTATGTATCATATAAGCTTTAACATTAAACTCTGTCCCAAGACAGAACATAACTTACATTTACAAAACATGAAAATATCAAGTGCAAAACTCACTCTCTCTTTCTCATGGATTAGGGACTTCCTTGATGCCTTTCAAGTTCCAAATATCACCACCATCCCAAACATCATCATACATTTTATCAATGTAAGTTTCATCCTTAAAATCAATTCCCCAAAATGGGCACCAAAGTGATCCCCATGACATTTGCTCATCCACCACCACACTACTCCACAACCCCGGCCGCCACTCATCCCAATCCATCAACATCTCCGCCGCCGCCGCCGCCACATCCCTCTGCTCCTCCTCCACCGCCACCACCACCTTCCCCACCTCCTCTTTTTCCTTCCCAACCTCCTTCTTCACCTTCATCTTACTCTTTGCCGTTGCCTTTCCATTCCCCACAACAATTCTCTCCCTCTTCTTCATCTCTCTCCTATGCCACTTTCTGTCACTTTCTTGGTAAAATTGTTGAACTTGTAATTTGGTATTTAAAGGGAGTGAGAGTGAGACGGTGGTTTTGGAAGGTGGTGTGTTGAAGGTGATGAGAACAATTGCTGGTTTCCAAAGGTCACGTGACAGTGCCTTGTCCCTATTGCTTAACTTAAAGCCATTTAAAGGCATATTGACAAAATCTTGTATCCATTTGCGGCTTCGGTTCAGTAATATTATTGTAATATTGACTTGGATTATGGTAATTTGGACCATGAAAAAGTTTGGAGCACTATTCAATGAACACTTTTTGGTGGATCAAATCACAGGGCGGTGCAGGAAATATTCCCAAGATCCAATAGGATAATGCAGACTGGTTGAAAGATGAGTGTTGGTGGAGAGTAGAATTGATATGCGGAAGTAAAATATTTGAGCCGCCTTCATATAGACACTGCTCTGATTGACTCATCAGTATGACCACTGCCTAGATAGGGGCAAAAACTTTGGGCACCTCTACCCACTGATACCATTACAAAAGGAAGGGGGATAGGGCCATCAGAGTCGTCTGTGCCCGCACGTGGTGTGCAAACGCCTGCTCGCGTTATGCACGGACGATTTTGTGCATCAGGTACACCGAATATCTGATTAAGTGATGTACATCAGGGCACAGCGAGTTTGAAGGGACGACGTGGCGTGCTCGTGTCTTAAATATTCTCTCTACCCACAAATAGCATTACAAACTAGAGGAAGTGGGCTCGTCGTACGGTTTGGGAACAATGCCAAGGGCATGAGATATTCGGTACGTGAGGTGTGTGATGTTGTTGATATACGGTCAATAGAAAAAAAAGCATTCTATGAAACATTCTATGAAATTAGTTTCACCTTAAAAATTATTCTCAATCACCGGACAAACCAATGACTTGGATTAGTTTCACTTAATCTTAAAAATTATTCTCAATTATCGGACATATCAATGACTTGGTATGCCAAGTGCACCCAGTATCTAATCCGAAGGCACGTTGAATGTAAAGGAGTCCACCGTAACTTAAAATCTTATATATATAAATCTCGACCAAAAAAAATTGTTACATTATGCCCATGAAATTTAACTGACAAATTTGAACTCATACTCAATACACTGGATGCAAATCAGACTCAGAAACAGTACTACTAATTTATTTTCAGAATTTTCAAAGCCAGTGTGAAGAGTGTTCACCAAGAGAGGAGTAATTTGATTAGAACCTGATATGCACGAGAGATTTTTTCTTTTTTACATTATTAATTAATTTCATTAATACATTATCTTGGAAGAAAAAATAAACTTGTGAATATTTTAATAATTATGTGATCCAGACTTCATATCATGACACGATTTTTTGAACTTTCTGGAAGCTACTAGTTTCCATACATATACGGACGATATAGAAAGCCCATTTTGTCCTTGATAATTTGTAGAACTCCGAACAAGTACATTAAAAGGGAACAAAGCAAACCTAACCGAGGATCAAATGGAATTCCTGGCCCATTAGCCCAAATCCCCTCCAATTTTCAATCAAAGAACCCAGTTTTGAAGAGCAAAGTTTAGGCAATTTTTTTGTCCACCCTCTTTTGGGAGGCCCATAACCAAACAGAAGAAACTGAAACACACACAGTATACAATAGCACAAAGCAAAAATAACAAAGAACGTTCAGTCCATAAATAAACCACCATATTTACAATACAAGTGACCTCCGAAACGACTCAATACAGACTTCGATTTTTACAGAAACTCTTCGAGAATGGCTGCCAACTAAAATTTCAGACTTACAGAAGACCCCCCAATACCGGAAGTAAATTTTAAAAATTCCCCTACTCTCATACTTACATGACAGAGAGGGTTCTCCTCAAGACCTCTGCATAACTTAAAACCTAAAAACCACCCTTTTATTTTGGTTAAGGACTACTCTTTACTTACAGACACTATACATACATGATAATGACCCTTTGAACATATTTACACTAGCAAAGGACCCTTCTCTCTCGAAAATGTTTAAATTTCTTCTCCGGATCAAATTTGGTGTAACTCGTCGTATTAGAATTCAGTTTCCTATGTACTCTTCAGTATCGGTGGGGGTTCGATCTAAGCCAGAGCAGGGATGCTGCAATTTCGCCTATCCCTGTCGAGACAATCGAACCCCTCAACTCTCACAGCTGGCTTGTTCCCAAAATTTGCCCGGACGCATCCGCCTTTCCTGGCGGCGGACGAAGACGGGGATGAGGACGACATACCAGAGGGAACCGGGATTGAGCGAGGCGAGACCGGGGTGACCTTTTCATCCCCAAATCGAGCATCTTGAATTAATGGGTTAGAAACTCTGCTCGGCGGCGACCCACAAAAAAACGGGGGCGACGAGGCTGCTTGTGTCACATTTTGTTCGGCACCATAACCACCCTGAAAGTAACAGAATTGATAACAAGAGAAATTAGAAAATATCTATAGACAAAATCAGATCATCAATCAATTTTTCTTCAATACATTACCCAAACCACCCAAGTTTAACATAAGCCATAGAGTACACCATCAATCATCTGAGTCATCATAGTTGACAATAACCTTTCTCAATGGTCCTCAAATTTCATTTAATCTCTAGAAAAATCCAAATTGCAATATTTTGTTTCGGTTGCTGGAAGTTTTCAGAATACTACTACTAAAGATATTCAGGACTAGTTCAAACTCAATTTTCAAACAACTAACTATGAAACAAACAATTCGCTAGAAAACTAAACCAAACATTAAAATTGTTACCTTAGCGAAGATGATATCCAAAAGATCAGTCCCTGCTTTTGAGTCACAGAGATCCGTCTGATAGCTGCAACCGAAGCAAAAATCAGTTAAAAATTATCTCTTCTACAGAAATCTACAAAAACATCAACAAATAAAATTGGTATATACTTCGACAAGAATTATACCTCATATGCCATCTCAAAGGTCTGTTGAAATCATTCATCGCTGTGTTGAGGAGACCGAGACGGCGAGGTTTCGGACAAACAACAGAGCCCACCATCATCCCTTCACAGTCCACAAAGGCGTTCTGTTGGATCGCACAGTGATTCATCTTCCTCTTCTGATATATATATCTTTATACAACGCCTAATAGTAACAAAACACTTTCAGACAAATACTTCAAGACAACCCTATAGATCCGAGAAAAACGAGAAAACAGACCAATTAAAAAAAACAAATTGAAATTTGAATCTGACAGATCTCGAACGCATAGGGATAATTTCAACTGTTAAAATCCAGATCTGGTCAAACTACCAATAAAAAATAAAGCCTAAAAAATTTCCAGCCGACCTTCTTGACTCGTTCCCAACACAAGCCTATTATGCATCTAAAATCAAAATTAAACTTTGAATTTATAGAACGAAACAGATCTATCATAAAAAAAAACAAGAGCTTTTTAGCCAAATAGCAACTATTTAGTCTATTTATACTTAGATATATGCAGATCTAGTAATAATCGCAGAAGATATATTTATAATTACTAAAAAAACAAAGAATTTAAAGATAATTTATTAACAATTTAAAAAATCAACGAACTTTTTAAAAAAATTCACACATCTCATACAAGTATATCATATCAACAGCAACAACAAAAAAAAAAATTTGGTTGGAAACTTCGAAATTGAAAAAAAAAAAAAATTTAATTTTAAAAATTTTCGCAGATCTATATTACTCATGAAAAATATATCATTTTGATCAGAAGATAAAAATAAGAAACACAAGAAACTGATGTTAGTTAAAAAAAAAAAAAATCTAAAATTAACTTAATTTTGATAGCATAGCGGCATAGAAAAAGCTTATGCCTGTTAAGCACAACGAATTTCATAAATTGAAGTAAACATCTAGTAGAGGAAGAAATTAGTTAAGATTTGAATTAGAATTGTGAGAAATTGTTGAAGATCGAAGCTTCAACAAAGAAGAAAAAATACGTGCAAATCTACAAGCATACGAAGTATGTGTGCGTGACTGTGTGCGTGACTGTGTGAGAGAGAGAGAGAGAGAGAGGAGATAATACCTGAGAGAGCTGTGCAGATCAGTATAGCTCCTCTCCAGCCGAACAAGGATTCAAATAAGAACCGAGAAATTAATAGAAAAAACAAAACAAGTATACAAAAAAAAAAAGGAAAGGTGGGATGAGATGAGTGTTATTATAGAGAGAGAGGAATCAGAAAAAGAAAAGAATATAAGAGAGAGAAAGAGGAAGAGACCGATGTGGAAAGATGTTAGCTGTTGGGCAAATCAGGAGAGAGAAAGAGATAGAGTTTTTAGAGAGAGAAGGAGGAAGGTGTGTGGGAGGCAAGACCTGCAAGGCTGCAGAAACTGCATTTATTTTTTTTAATTAATTTTTTAATCCAACACGCTGGCGGTGCTCCCGCGAGAAATCTCATCGGTTTTTGCACCCACTTCAAAACTATATATTAAAATATTTAAAAAATCTCCCCCAAAAATATCAACTTAACAACAACCAAGCCCTTACTCCTTTTTGCTGGTGTATGTTAAACTCTTACTCGCTTTCGGACGTCGACACGTGGACGCTTTTCTTCAAATTCTTGTTAGGTCCGCAAAGTCCTACTCTTAACACTAACCAAAGTAATTAACAAGTCTCTACTATTTACCCCCTATTCAAACTTACATCATAAATTTTTAATAAATGCCTTGTACTAACGGTTACTTTACACATCAAGAGCTTGTATTTTAGTGTTACTAATTCAGCTTTCAAACCATTTGATATACGTTTTGTTTATATTGTTTTTATTTTTAAAATTTTATAATATTAATTTTGGTAATAAAAATATATTTGGTGTGATTTTATTTTATTTTATATAGTGTTAAAATATTTTGTAAATAGTAGTTCAAAATCAAAATACCAAAAAGTTATTTTTTCTTATTTTGATAATTGTTCATGACTCAAAATCATGTTTCTGTTTTTGGCATTTCCACAACAAAATATTATTTCCAAAAGTGCTTCCGATTTTTTTCTAAAATACTCGTACAGGCAAAAACAAAACGCTTAAAACAAAGTGCATGTCAAACGGGCCTTAGGGTCAGTTTGGTTTTGATGTTTTTGTTTTTGTCGGTTAATGTAATAATGAATAATGAAAAAAAATATATTTGGTAAAAAATATTTTGTTTTTACACAATGCTGAAATATTTCTTGACTAATAGTCAAAAATCAAAACACCAAATTCAATTTGGTTTTTTTTTACAAGTTTCAACACGTAGCAAAGATTACTTAGCTATAGACAATAAAAAATAATTTATAAAAAAAAAAAAAAAAACCTCTTAAATGACATTTTTAAACTAACTATTATATTTTTCAAACTTGCAACACTTTTTACCAAACATGTTTTCATATTTTTTGCTTCAAAAAAATTTTACAACAAATAAACGTTACTAAACACGCTTCTGATTACTATTCAAATCACTTTATAACAAAACACTTTTTTATTTTCGGTTAAAACAAATCGTTAAAAATATAACATGAATCAAAAAGACAAATTCAATGTAATAAGATAAGATATGATACAGAAATATCAATATATATATATATATATATATATATATATTGAGTGGACTGGACTACATAAGTGTCTGATGATTAAGTTACTGTCGTGATACTCATCATACTGTACATTTTTTAATACATTACATTTATTTTTCAACGCATTACATATGTTTTTTAACACAATATTTTTTAATATGTTATATTTTATTGCAGGAAACAAAAAAATGTAAATGTGTTAAAAAATCACTACATCACCAACACATTACAGCATAGAATATTACGTTGCAAGAACCTCATAAATATTCTAATATTTTCCCCTTGAGAACCTAAAAAAATGGTAAGTTATATTATTTTAAGATAAATTAAATTGACTTAAGCTGAGATTTGGATAATTTTGATTTCTCATAAATTTTGACGCTCAATGATATCACTTGTCCACTTACAAGTTAGTAGAAAGTTTATATTTACCTTGATGTGGCATAAAATTAGTGAACAACCAACAAGCTAACAGCCTAGCGGTACTAAACCCCTATTTTTTAAAAAGAGGTTAGGGGTTTGACCCTTCATGGAGGCATGTGTGTGTGAGTACTCAATTAGGAAAAAAAAAAATTAATGGAACATGTTTTCCTATAATATAAAATAATAATAATTAATAAATTTGAGAGGTTATCCGAATTAAATCCAATATAATCTAAATCTAAATCTCTCACACTATTCTTTTTGTCTAGGAAGTGAATGAGAAGGGGATTTTGTCGAAAAAAAATATTTTAAGCTAAAATTCTTAAATAAAATAATACTACAAGATACAAACAAAGTTTGGATAATGAATAGAAAAAATAATTTTAAAAATTTGTTTTCTGTCAAAAGAAAAAAGAAGACAAGAAATAAGTAATAACAATCTATTATGTAATTAACAAATCATCTATGGAATCATGTGAACCAGATTTTATGTAATTGTATTGGGTGTACTTTAGGTAAAAACAATTGATAAATATATATAAAGATCACACATTAAACTATGAAAGATAAAAGTCAAAACTTTTGGTGTTAGCAAATTAGTGTTTAGCGGAATAGTTTGAGAGAGAAAAAAAAAATGAGAGTTAAATTATGATTTGATTTGCAACATTTTGGGTTGCCCCTATAAGCATTCAATTTTTTTAATTTTTATTATTTTTTATTTTAAAGATACTTGTCACATTATTTTTGCGTTACATCAAGAATAAATATAAATTTTCTACTCACTAATTAATAGGTAAGTATTGCCCTTAAAAAAAACTCATCATTCCTTTATATGAAAAACATAGATAAAGTTTACATATTGTATAATTTATTCAAATTTTAAAGAAGGTAAGCTTAATTTACTCAAATATAATATATATATATATATATATATATGAAGTCAATACAAGTCCATTCCTGTGTGCAAATTAATAAAAAGGTGATCGTTTATAGCATGATTTGCCATATGAGTGGTTTTGCTATCTGGTATTGCAAAATTTCCGTGTTTTTACCATTGAATCACCGAATCATTTCATATGGAGTATTTGTTAAAAATCGTGGGTTGACATTGACAATTTGGTAACATAGGTGGGTCAACAATAGAGAGATTGAGTCTGATATGCTATTATCCTATGTTGAAAAGACAAAGTGAAATGGAATGGGCCATTGACAGCCAGCTGTAAACTCATGAGCTAAGAATCTCTCCATATCTGCCTTTTTACAACAACCAAAAACACATCTTTTCAAACTATATCTATATTTTTTTAACTTAAAAAAAAAACTATATCTATATTCATATTTATATTTATATTTATATTTATACTATTATAAAAGTGTTACTAATTTCTTAATATTTTTATATTTTTAAAACATACAAAATTATTTCATTAATCTATCTATATGTATATCTATCTATATCTATATCTATATCTATATATATATTATTATAGAAGTGTAACTAATTTTTTAACATTTTTAAATTTTTAAAAAATTTATACTATTCTAAAAGTGTTGCTAATTTCTTAACATCTTTAGATTTTTAAAAAATACAAAATTATTTCATTAATCTATCTATATTTATATCTATCTATATCTATATCTATTTCTATACTATTCTAAAAGTGTAGCTAATTTCTTAACATTTTTAGATTTAAAAAAAAAAAAAGTTATACTATTCTAAAAGTGTTGCTAATTTCTTAACATTTTTAGACTTTTAAAAAATACAAAATTATTTCATTAATCTATCTATATTTATATCTATCTATATCTATACCTATATCTATCTATTTATATCTATATCTATATCTATATTATTCTAAAAGTGTAGCTAATTTCTTAACATTTTTAGATTTTTAAAAAATACAAAATTATTTCATTAAATACTAAAAATTAAATCACCTTATGATTCAAACAATCTTCAATTTTTCTTTATAAAAATTCTAATGACGTGTCATTAAATTACCTTATTTAACTCTCACAACTAAAAAAAGAAAAAAAGAATGTAAAAGGAAAATAACTCCTTTTTTGTTTCTAAAATACACATCCACTCCATTTCAAACATTTTTGTTAACATATATATTAACCGTATAATAATTCATAATGTCTATATAAATATTACAACACTTTAGTTTCTTCTCATTACGTGTAATGATTATGTCTCTTTAAATTTTACGATATAACGGTTTCAAATGAAAAATCCTTTAATTTTCTATTATTACATTTTATTGGGAGTCTATACAAATGCACCAAAATTATCTATCAATTTATTTTTAATTTATTTACAACCCTTCTGAGTCATATATTTTCCAAATTTTAATTATTAAAAATCTTAATTTTACGTATCATTAATTCACCTTTTTTAACTCTTTCAAATAAATAATACTCCTTAATAAGAAAAAAAATAAAAAAAAAAAATAAAATAAAAAACTATAATATTCCCACAATTTAAAAATGAACAGTTCCTTTCCAAAAATTTCCTCCCAAAAATTCTAAAGCCAAATTCACACTATTCCAAACAAAACCAAAAATTGTAGAAGAAAAAAAAGAATGTAGCTATTTGTTTAAAAACAAAAACAAAAAAATATTCATGAAACAAAAAGAAAAAGAAAAAGAAAAACGTAAAAAAAAACATACATTTTTCTTTTAAAAAAGCATGTCCACCACCACTTCAAACATTTTTGCTTAATTTTAATTTTTAAAAAATTATTAACATATATATTAACTACATAATGATTCACAATGTCTTTATAAAAGTTTACAACTCTTTAATTTCTTACTATTAAGTGCAATGATTTATTTCTTTTTAAATGTTACGATATAAAGGTTATAACCCTTTAGTTTTCTACCACTACATCTGATTTGAAGTCTCTCCAAATGCATCAAAATTATCTTTCAATTCATTTACAACCCTTATGATTTATATAATTTTTAATTTTTCTTTATAAAAATTCTAATGATGTGTCATTAAATCACCTTATTTAACTCTCACAAATAAAAAATAAGCAAAAAAAAAAAAAAAACATAAAAGGAAAAAATATATATATAATATTCCCACCATTTAAAAAGGAACTCGTTCCTTTCCAAAAATTTTAAAGTCTAATTTACATTATTCAAAAAACAAAAATGTAAAAGGAAAAAAAAAAGTACCATATTTGTTTTAAAAAATAAATAAATATATACACGCTACAAAAAAAAAAAAAAAAAAAAAAAACCATACATTTTTAAAAAAAATTCTAAAGCCTCATTCACACTATTCCAAACAAAACAAAAAATTGTAGAAGAAAAACAAAATGTACCCTATTTGTTTAAAAACAAAAATAAAAAAATATTCACGCAACAAAATGAAAAAGAAAAAGAAAAACGTAAAAGAAAAGAAAAGAAAAAAA